CTATCGTTTCGACCAATTGTTTTTTAGAGGCCTCTTCCGGTGTCGGTACGCAGATGTCGAAGGCGGTGTACGGGAAGAAAGTCGATTTTGAGATTTTGTGCTTTTTTGGGCCTCTTCCCTATGATGAATTCGAAAATCCATACTGGAGGCGAAAACTGCGAAAAAGGGGTCTAACGCAGGAGGTAATCAGCAGGTGGGCGAGACAAACTCTGTGGAGTCACTTTCCCAGCTTCAAAAACGATATTTTCGCGTCCGCTAGCTGCCCCAACATCGCCACAGGCCAAGTGGGAACGGGTGACTTGAAAACGGAACCGAGAAGGTTGCCCTTGAAGCTTGGAAAGTGATTTCCCAGAGTGGAAAGCCCCGCCCATCTGCTGATTACCCTCCCACGGTAGAGCAAATTTTCATCGTTTTCGCTCTCTCCGGCGTGGTCTGATTCAGCACAGCGAATATAGGTACCAGTGGCGTACCGAGAGCGGGGAACAAGGGGGACGCCCCCCCCCCGACAATGGGTCGCGGAATTTCAAAGTTATTTACATGAGCTATAAAAATGTGCAAGTGACTCTTTTATACTTGTACTTGTAAATGATCAGAATAATTTTTTGTTCTAAAATTCAATTTGGCCTTACAAAAAAATTTTCGGGGGCCCACAAAAATTTTGAGAAGCATACCAAGAATTTTTTCGGAGTGCGTTGCAAAGCCACTCTACCAGATAATAATTTCTTCCCCCCCCCCCCTCCTACCCCGAACGAAAATCCTGGGTACGCCACTGATAGGTACGTACCCTAAGCCTAACCGTACTAAACCGCTATTTGTTGCAAATAACTCTCTTGCGTTGTAATCTTTAGCAGGCCCATAAAACCGTTCTATAGTATTGGCTTCAACTTAGATTTACAAAACATAAGAAAATCGTAGGTCGCGTTTCATTACAATGGATTACGGTAGGAACTTTGTAAAGGGTTTTGAGCCATGGAGGGCCTTATTTTGGCTCAGTAAGAAAATAGAACAACTTGAAAACTATCACAGGCTGATTAGAGTTGCTGATTCTGCATATGCATTTTATCAGTAAGCTTCGTCAAAAAGTAATGCCAGGTAAGCAGTGGCAGCCATCTTTCCAAGCCTCCTAAAAGTGTGGTCACACTTGAGCAGCATCGTAGTTTTGCACGAAGAGTATCAAACTCAGCGCCCATAAAGACTCCGTTACACAAGTTTTCAGATTTTTTCAAATTATCCAAAGCGGCAGCTTTTCCACAGCACCATGCGGAAAGTTTCTACCGTAATCCTACAGTAATGAAGCGCGACCAATGATTCATTTTGTACTGTAAATCTGTTGAAGCCAGCGCTACAAAATGATATTCATAGGTACGAGGCAAGGAAGTTGTTCAAAGACAATAGTAACATACTGGACACTCTGTATGTCGCCGATAGAAGTTGGTAAAGAACATTCATCGTATTTCCTACCCCCCCCCCCCCTCAAAGATGCTGAATAGTCCAAAGACTCTTGACATATTACATTCTTAGTCTTCGTTTCAGAGCTGATTTCAATTAAATTCATGATTGGGTGTCTCCACTATATCCTTTATTCGAGGTTTTGTTTTTTACTAGATAGGTTTTTCAAAATGTTTACGAATACTAGACTACGAATTGATTAGAATCGTCCAATTATTCTTGAAGGATTTCTTCTTGATTAATGCAAGAATCACGTATTATAGGTGTCCGCTAAGAAAGAAGAAGACTGAAGGACACCCGTCAAGGCAGTTTCAAACTACGGCACTTTTTCGACTATTCACTCACTCCTCCTCCTATACCCCCCCCCCTCCTCCCATACCAGCTACGCGGTCAACTTTTCCCACCAAAGACGAGGAAGAGGCATAAGAAGACCAACTGTGAAACTGGTGTCAAATGAGCTGTAAAACAACAGCAACCACTCCCTTGTCGTTGAGATGTACGCCGAAGAGGACGACAGAATGGAATCATGATAAATGGAGTGTTCTTTGGAATTAGGGTTTCTGTCCCAGCGGCATAATCGTGGCAATAAATCTAGGCAATTCTCGGTGAAATTCAAAAAACGGAAAAAAGAGAGGTTTCGATAGCAGCGGCTCGATTGGCAATCATCAGAGATATTTTGCAACGAAAGGTCCATTTGTAAACACAGCTTTGCTTTGATAGTGAGTGTTTCAGCACCGAAAACATCAGCATTCAAATGAGCAAGGAATGACAAAGCCTTGAAGAACGAATGGAAATATTGTATCGAGTCGTTGCTTATAATAATAGCATGATGATGGAGAATTCTTCCAAAACAGTGCAAAAAGATTTATATGTGTTGACCTTTGGTTTGGTCCACATGAGTACGATACTGCTTTTATGAATTGTCACAGTGTCAGATCTTGTGGATGTCGTCAAGGAATTTGGAAGGACTCTGACCCGAGCCAATAGTTGCCGGTGCAGTTTTCATAGAAATTTCACTGCGTCACAGAGGCAAAAACAGGATAACAATAGCATGAGCAGAATCCCAAAATCTTGTCAATGAATATTTCTCAGTGTTTCATAAAAAAATGTGCATAGGCTGACCTCACCCCATTAGACAGAAGAAATTTTAACGAGATTAGTACAAACGGAATGAGAAATTGCTCGAGAAAGTGAGAAAAACACTGTACAAAGCAGAGTTGTGCAAAGTGATGACAATTGACGGAATTTGGAGAACAAAGTGGGTGAGGGCGGAAAATTGTCACTCAAAAAAGTTCCAATTTTCTGGGATACCATGTGCGTTCTAAGAATAAGAGAATCAGGGCCTTAAGCAATTATCAACAGGAAAAGTTCCTCTGCTTCAATTATCCGTCGTGAATTTACAGTGAGCTCCCAATCACTTGAATTAGAATACGCACTAATGTACCACCAAACTCCAAGTAAATCTTGACGGAAGCTAATGGGAGGAAAATAAACAAAAATTGCAGAATCTATAAAAACTGGAGACCACCGACAGGCCAATTCCACAGCCATCTTGTTTTTGTAGCGTCTGTCCTTAAAGTTATCAAAGTAGCAATTCTGTCAACAACTAGTTGCAACAAGCTCCAATTGAATTGTCTACCGTTTGTTTGGAAAAATGGAGCAAAAGATCGTGCCAAGCACACCATTTATCGTAAACATCCGGTTTGTTGACCCTCTTTTGCTAACATCCAAGGCTCTCGGGATCACAACCTGCTCTATGAAAGCAATTTACTGAACTAATATCAAATGCTTTCGTGATTGGCTCATTGATACGAATATTTTACTTCTCTCATGAATTCCAGTAATTTTGAAGGTCTGTCGAACAAAACCAGACAAAGTTCCAGCCGAAAAGTTATAGGCCGGTTGATTGATGGCTGAGTCGATTATGCGTTAGGTTGCACCATCAAGAAAGTTCATCAGGGTAACTATTGGTTGGGCAAGATATTTAGTACATCTGCTAGATTTACCAGCTTCTACAAAAAGAGCAAAATGTTAGCAACATCAGTTGAAAGTGCTTCCGAGCTTTTTACCCCTTTTGACGATTTCACGAATTCTCACTTCATCTTTTTCATGCCATAATTACGGTCATCTACCAGAGTGTTTCTGGGTGACAACATTTTTAGAGCTCATAGGGCTTTCTTTTTGTTGACCGAATCAGAGTGTAATTACACCATCATAGATTGCTTCAATCAAACAACAACAGATTCATCAGCTCATTACATTCCTACCAAACTGCATTCACTTAGTTTGTGTAGGAACGTTTCTGCCAAATTGCTTCTGAAATCGGAAGCAGATTCCTTTCAATGTAGCGAATAACGAGAAAAAGGGTTCGAATGGATCTTCCCGAGATCTCTTTTGAAAACTATGTAATCTGTTCATAGAAGAAAAAATGAGAATATGGGCTCACTAACACTCATCACAAAATTTTTATGGGTCCAATGAGAGCGTCTGTTAGCGGATTTGATTTTTTTATTTTCCGACAAGCTGAAGATTATGTGAACGCGATTATAGTGCATTTTAATTATAACAGACAGAATCATACAAAAGTGTTTCATACAGATGACTGAAGAAACGTTGGTCTTACTGCAACGGTGCATTCCGCCTCCTTCGCAAACTCTCAGTGGAAGCAAGCGGTTTTTGTTTTGCGTACATCGCTAAAGAACTGTACTATTGATTCATTCCGGGATGAAAATGTACACGTAATTCATCTGCAGATGAACCTTTCATTATAGACTAGGAATGAGCAGATTTTGACACTCCTTTGTGAAATCATTCACACGAATACAGCGAAAAGGAGAAGGAACAGGAGAGGAGTTTGATTTGAACAAACATAACTGCACAGTCATGAACCGGTATTGAGAGAGAACATAAGAAGTAAAATAGTTGACATCAAACCAAAAGTAAGGTTAATCAATGGGTCTATGATACCTTACAGGCACACATTAGTGAAAAAACAAAGCGCGATCCTTGGATATAGACTGACAATTGATATTAAGAGATCAAAGATATTTGGACGACTCCAAATTATATGCTTTCCAAAAGAAAACTGAGTAGAATCAAAGATCACAGGAGAAAAGTGGAAAACATATCTGTCAGACGTCATGCTGCCAACTGCAACCTAGAAAAAAGAGAGCGAGCAGATCCAGCCCCTTCAGCTAGCGCGATGTTCGCATCATCTCCGTTTAATTTCGCAGCTAAATCAATATAGACGTCTGAAGGGCTTGGCGGCCAGTGTTCACATGCATCACGAGGTCAGTCACAGCCAGACGAGATCGACAGGTGATTGCGCTGCTAGCTGCAGCACATCTGTCATCTGACATCAACAACAACAAAAAGTCAAAGTTCAATTTATTTCTCTAATGTACAGTTTAAAAATGTTGAAACGATCTTATGAGCAATAAAAAAGTGGTCACAGGTTTGCTAAGTATTCCAAGGCCGAAAATAATTCCAGAACTTGGAAAACCGGAGAATTTCAGTACAAACAGTTCACTAAGAAAAGCAATGAGTTCCAAATGAGACTATGTAAAGCAACGCACTAACAAAAAAACTAAATCAAAAAGGGAGGGCGTCGGAAATTTCTGTATCAGGACAACAGCGCTCAGAGAGTTTAGCCACAGTCCGTCACAAAGCAGAAATTCTTCAACCCAGCAGGTTCTTCGCATCCACCAAATCACATCCACCGTATTAACATTTGCTTTTGTTTGTCGCACAAAAACAGTTAGTACGGCTTCATTTGCAATCTAGTGGATTGTGAAGAACCGGATTTAACCTCAGCATGACGAAGCCTTGGGCCCTTCCTCGCCTTCCTTTTTGACCAAATAAATTGTCGTGAAGTTCTGAATAGAGGAAAAATCATCCAATTTTTAGAAAAGCTTCTAAGAAGATACCTCAGCAACGGTGGGATGAATTCCAATAAGCCGCTCAAAGTCGGCCTTGGTTGCTCCTAATTTGAATGCAAGACCAAATCCTTGGGTTATTTCTCCTGCACTCGGGGACATGATATGAAGACCCACGACTCGGTCCTCAAATCGTTTTTTTTATCAAAGCAAGGGTATAAGACGACCGTACCTTCTCGTTCTTCACGCATATCAGCTTGCAGTAACAATGATCTTTATCAGCCCTTTCAGCAATAGTGTACTCCAAAGGAAGCAGGGCGCCGTGATATACAACGATGTTGTCGTCCCCGTAACGCTCTTTTGCATTCTAGAGAGTTTCATGGAAGAAAGTGAATTCAACTTTATAGGTTTAGTGCTCTTTACCTCTTCAGAAAGTCCGCAGCAGCCATACTCTACCGGAGTGAACACCGTTGTTGGAACATCATCATATTCGGTCTACAAGAAATTAGTATGAAAAAACGATAGCAAGCAGCTTGATTTCTTCACACAAACATTCCGAGCACATACGGCTGAGAAACTAGTTACCGTACAGAAGAAGAAAAATTTTTTTATACAGTGCACTTTTCAAGAGTCACTGTCAAAAAGGTTTGCTGTGTGACATAAGCCTTGCTTTAGTGAATAGTTTTCCAGCGGCGTTATACCCAGTTCTAGATTCTTCATAAGAAAAATCGTTTATTTCCACAACTTCAGAGGTTATATCCCACCAAAAACACCAAAAATGAGCTTTGCTTTCGTGAGCATTCCGCAAAGGATAAGCAGCAGCATCTAATTCAAGGTGCTTTCTCCAGGAAGCCAACCTCATCAGACAAACCATAGCAACAGAAAAGAGTGAGCTCCTCTAAAAAATTTTTCTAGAACCTCTGTTCTCTCGCATCAGATATCAAAAGATTGAGTAGGGTGCGACTGACCAGATTTTTGATACTTTATCAGTTGCTCTTTAAATGAAAAGGCTTACGCACCTAGGATATGTTGGAGCAGTTTCTGGCTTTGCTTGCAACATAGAATTATCGACTAAGAACAAACGCTGCTCATTCAATATGGAAAGGCTTCATACTGAGAACATGTTGGCGTTTGATAGATGCATAAGAGACCAGCTATATGGAAGGAGATGAATAAAAGAGAATAAGGCCCTAGCCAGACTTCGCTCAAAAGCGCCCAAAAGCGCTCAAAAGCGCCCAAATTTTTCTGATGTTTCTGTACTTTCTCTTGTGAGAAGAGATGAGAGAGGGAGTGAGGAGGGGTTAGAGAAGTTTGGGCGCTTTTAAGCACTTTTGAGCGAATCTGGCCAAGGCCTAACAAGAAAATGCCGCAATTAGTACGCATCACGAAGATATTAGTAATTCAGAATTCATGTAGTGTTTTCCTATAAAAACAGAAAACATTACAGATAATGAACACTGACTCTTAGGACAAGCGTCCAGTATACCTAAAAGATGAGATGATATTCGAATAACGTTGACTGCCGGGAAGGTCAAACGAAGGGAGCGAAAATGAGAGACCAGGATCAAAATAACGAATTTTCCTTAGTCATATTACAACTCGAGCAATTTTGAAAGTTACTAGCACACTGCTAGCACTTCGAAAATAATTACGTGAAGGCTAAGCGCACTTTACGAGTTGTAAAGGAACGGAACTTACCTACCCGAAAAACTTGCCGCAGCATAATCGTAGGGGTCGTGTCGGCAACGTTAATTACACCGTATGCAGAACTGATTTTACGCATAATTAGAAAGCCCCGTTCTCATCCAGCAAGCACAAGCCTGGAATGTAGCTGTAATTTCGAACCGAAACTTCAGTGTCGATATATGCCCGGTTAAGGTGAAAAGTGGCACTAAGGGTTTTCTAAGGTGTAAATTTCGATTATATTAGCAGCTTTGTTCGATACTTCAAGCGGATTTTCTTTGAGTGAGGTTTTCTTACAATGACTTTAATGTGAATTGGGAAAAAAAAAAGAAACGAAAACTGCTTCAATTAGGAGAATTAGTTATATCCAGTTATCAAGCTATTACATACAAACATTATTTCAAGTTCGAAAAACAAAAGATAAACACCCACAACTCCTAAACTGAAATTGACTTGGACATCTGGAAAACCTGCTATCTAATCCCAAACTCGGCTAGAAAAATCTATAGAATGTTTGTAAAAATGCGAACATCGAATCAAAACGAACAAAATTCCTGGCATATAAGAATTAATATCCCAGAACATCGAGGTTCCATTTTTCACCTTGATCGGCCAAATATTGCTACTGAACTTTGGGTGTGAAACTACAGCGCACGGGTTCATGCATTGCTAAATGCGAGCGGAGCTTACTCTGTGCTATATCAGCTCTGCATGATGTTGCCGACAACTCATGATACCTAATCACGTTGCGGCAAGGCTTTTGGGTAAAATTCCCTCGCTCCTTGTTATATGTTGCTCCCAAGCAATGGAAGTTTGAAAAACGAATTTACTTCATCGAATCTGATCGTTAACGGGAAATGAAAGAAGATACAACATTAACTTACAAGTTCATCACCACCGCCATAAAGCCGTTTCATCAACACTTTGCCTGCCTGTATCGCTACAGGAGTCAACTCCGGAACTCCTTCCAACACATCTCCGATAGCGTAAACGTATGGGCAGGTCAGCGACTGCTCACGACGCCCTTTCACCTAGATATCATGATATATAAAATATGGCGCCTAGCAGCATCAAGTACCTTCCCAGCTCGATTCTTTGCAACATCTATCACCTCCAAACCAAGACCTTTTGTCTCCGCATCTCGTCCGATAGCCATAATCACCTACATCAGAACACTTCGATAGAGTTACACCATTTACGCACAACTCCTTACAGTGTTGAACTCTTCACTCTTCTCAACTTTTGTGCCATCTTCCCCAGTTTCCTGCCAGTAGACCATGATTCTTCCCGCCTTCGTCTTCGATCTCGGTTCTATCTCTTCAAATTTGCTGGGAACCGCCCTGTAATAGTACAGATATGGATTTAAAAAATATGAAGACTATGCATGAAATTCACCCTACAAATTTCACTCCATACTCAGTCATTTGCTTTCCTATCCGACTAGCCATATCCTGGTCGAATCCCCTTAAGAGAATCGACCGTACCATGACCTAAAATAGGAGTATAGAGCCTTCTCAATGCAGCTAGCTGACTTTTTCTCCAGATTTCCAACCCAGACGGGAAAATGATTGGGGTGAATCACTACATCTCTTACTTTTACAAACATATATTTCGGAAACAACAAGCTTTATAAGTGTAAACGATGCAGAAAGTTTATTTTGCATTAGTGTAGATGTGGCTCGATAATGTGTATTTTTCGACTTATGATTTCAACGTGATTAGCAGATTCTGTGAAAGTTTCTGAGAATCCTCAATGAAGCACGGTTACAATCAACTAGCAAAGAAACAGGAGAGAAGTGTTGGATATTGTCGGAGTTTTATAACGAGCAAAACGGAAAGTGGGGTAAAAGAGACAAATATAGTTACAAATTATGTAATTTTGATTTTAAGACTGGTAAATGTAAGCTCAAAAGCAAACAACCAGAACTCACAGTTACATCGAACCCTAGACCCTTCAGAAAGCCAGCACACTCAAGTGACACATACGAAGCACCAATGCAAAGCGTCTTTCCAGGTGGATATGGCAGTGAAAACACGTCATCACTACAAAACCAATTAACAATACACCAATGTGTATGATGAGAGATAACAAGGTTACCTTGTAATAGTATATTCTCTTGCACCGGGAGTATTCTCAGGGTACCGAGGACGAAGTCCTGTGGCTATGAGGAAACGATCGGCTGTTATTTTTTCTTTAACACCTTTTTTGTTAGTTGCAGTGATTTCAAACGGGCCAGAAAAGGTAGCAAATGAGTTAATATAAGTGACCTAAAACAAAATTGAGGCAAAAAGTTTATCAGAAACAACAAATGAAACTTGCATGAAAAAAACCTACCGAGCGCTCACGTAATTGTACCCGATAGCCCCAATTAAGTGAAGCTATATGATCTTGCACACCATCTCTGAGCAACTTCCAGTTGTGGGTGATTTCACCTTCGGGAATTTTCCATCCATACATCTTTGCATCCTCTTAAGCAACCAAACATTCAATAAAATAATCTTCCTGAGATAAGAGGATGATTGGAATGATATGCATCAATTGGTGATTCAAAAATTCCTTCGGTGCAAAACTTGGTGTAAATTCCATCGTATGACATGACAAAATTTCAGTGAGAAATTACTCAAGCCATTCCTCGAATAACAACACAAAATAATCACAAGTCTCCGTAGTCTATGGGTATTTAATTCGATAAATAATGATCTAAAGAACTCACTAATAGCATGCCCAAGCAACGCAGCTTGGTGCATGAGTTTTTTCGGAATGCATCCAACATTTACACAAGTACCACCCAATCCCCAACTGGAACCTTGCGGCGAAGGCACTACGAAGTCAAGAACGGCAACTTTCTTTCCAAGACTAAAAATACATCCTCGGTTAGGGAACGGCCATAGGTTGTCGATGTTGTCGGTGTTGTCGGTGTTGTCGGAGTTGCCGGGGTCAGAGATAGTTTAGAGAGCGCGCGAAACGTGGAGGCTATCATGAGGTACTACAACGACCGGCAACCTCGGCAACCCCGACAACATCGACAACACCGACAACCTATGGCCCTTACGAATATAGCAGGAGAAGTTATTTGACGTGCTTTTCGCAACATGATACTATCATACATAGTGAGCTGTTGTTTTGCTCTTGATATCACGGTAGATGTACGGTTATGAGTTCAGTTTTTACGGTTCAGATTTGGCTAAAACTTTGCAGAGAAGAGTTGATTTGAATCTGGTGCACGAATGTCTATTCACCCGACAGATGCCAGTATCTGCGAGCGCGTATGGTCATCTAACTGGCATGCAGCGGTAGTTCAACGAAAAAATGATACTTTTGATCAGAATGCTGATAATACGCAATCTCAACAGATAACCTCCACAACTTAGCTACACATGTCATAACTTTGCGATGCATGATATATAGGACCACAGGCCACTGGAAAAATCCTCGGGCGCGGACGGCAAAAAAAAATCTGTGCCAGAAACACAGTAGAAGAAATGAGACAAACTTGGCTGCCATTTTCGCAGCAGCAAGACCTCCTGAGCCTCCACCAATCACAATCAGATCGTACTGATGATCTTTTAACCATTCGGCTAATATATGTTTATCCGCAAGTGCTTTAAGCTCATCAACTCCACCAATCACGTCGCCCTAAAGAGATAATACAATATGGAGGGAAGAAAAGTCCAGTGAATGCGCTAACCTTGACGAAGACAAGCGGCCATTGATTCCTCAATGTAATGAGTTGAAGTCGATCTTTAGCTGGTTCATTCACTCGTAATCGAGTAACTTCTACATTCCCTGCGTATCCACAAGTCTTGATAACTCCGAGACACTAAAATAGGTAGTTTTCCTTAAGGACCTGTCATAATTCACCCAAACGAAAGCGCCTAAATGAGCCAGATTGCGTAGGAAACCGCCAGTGATAAAAAAAACCAGAGCCCCTTTTCACTAGGACAACTTTTGGCTTTGAAAAGTGATTTGCAAATCATGGTACGATGTCAGACGAATACATTATCACATACATGACAATGCTAACCACAGTCAATGGCGGCTCAAGTTTCACCATATCTTTGCACCCCATGAGAAGTTAAAGGCAGCGTCCAGGCAGATCTAGACCTATGGGGCTTTTACGTAGAAAGTACTTTTGGGGCCCTAACTAAGGCACTGCCCAAGCGGCAGCTCAGGTAGTGCTCTAATGGCTGAGATATTCCCCTCGAAGCTGGCCCCCGCGAACGTATTCGCATGGATTCATGGTGGCAGTTTCGCGCCAGGATCCACGTTTTGCGCCATGAATCCATGCGAAACACGGTTGCGGGGTCCAGTTTCGAGGGGAATATCTCGGGCATTAGGGCACTACTTGAGCTGCCGGTTGGGCAGTGGCTTCGGAAGGGCCCCAAAAGTACTTTCCACGTAAAATCCCCGACTTGCCTGGACGCTGCCTTTAAGATATCAGGATATCCCGGTGAACGCTGGAAGGCTATTACGTGCGCAGAAGCGCTTGATGGTGTGATGTGAATAATTGACGTTTTACTAATTAGAATTATTTGCGACAAACAGTTTTGAATTTTCTGCTACGAAACTGAAAATTACTCGAATTGTGTCTGAAGTGACCACAAAGCTTTTAATCGAGTTCTGAGAAACCGCGAGTTGATCTTTTACAACTACCAAATGATTACTGCTGAACAAGTTTTAGAATTTAGGCTCTAGTATTGAAAGTTGCGCGCGCGAGTGGGAGCGTTTTGGCGCTTGCCGGCGCTTTAAGGCGTTGTTGAGCGTTTTTGGGCGAAGTATGGCAAAATCCGTAGAGTAATGTGGATGCGTGCACTTTACCACCACCCGCAAAAAAGAACTATCAAAGCGCAAAATCACAGGAAAGAAGCTCTCGAAGCATTAAGCCTTTTTTGTGACGATAAAGAGATAGGCAAAGTGCAGAATCAAAACGAGATAAAAGAACCAACTAGATAAAAAACTAAATGATAACGAAGTGTTGGAAAAAACAAAAACATCAAAATAAGCTACAAGTTCTCAAAAAACTCACAGCGTTTACACTGGACTCCTCTCCCGAGTGAACAATGGCGATTTTAGCAGAAGCGATAGCTTCGAGTACAGAGGTAATGTTGATATGTGTGTAACGTCGAGCACGCGAGTGCGAGCCTGTCGAGTTCGGCATGCTCGCAGCCACAGCTCCCATTTTTGGAGCTGGCACTTTTGATACTGGAAAAAGGAGCGATGAGATAACAGGCAAACTATCAAATGAAACAATAGGGTTGTCTTCTTGATAAGGGAAGATAGCCAAACTTTACGACACCCTAGAAATTTGGTTGATGTCAGATATTCGAAAACAGCACGTAATACTTTCGTGTTAGTCGGACTCATGACCAAATTTGCATCTGATTCGATAGCGTACATATAATTGAACTGGAGCACCATCTGATAAACTATAGAAATACGTCATGGACGAGATTTTTACTCTTCTTAAGTATTGCTTATTCTTATAAGTATGTTACAGAAAACCTTTAACAGAAGGAGTGTGCGTGATTTCGGAAGCTTTGAGAAGTTGGTTCGATCTTTTGGTTCGTTAGCATCAAAATGCATCTAGTACTCAATTTGTTTGTGTATATGCTGTCAACTTTAAAGGTATGAATGATCGAATGAGCGATTATTCCAATTTCTCGCAGTTGCTACTCTTCAATCAGCTTACGGGAAAATTGAGTGAATCCCAGTTTTTTTGTTTTAGTTTTAAAAACGAAACAAGTTCCCTACTTTTGTAGTAAAACGAAGGTTTAAAGATTCGGAATTCAGATTCTTCATCTCTTTAATACATTCCTCATCCCCCAATGATGGCAATAAGTGGAAGGGGCGACCATTTCTCCGATGAAATCGATTTTTAGCTGATAGTCTGATAATAGGCTTGCCGTTCATACATATTTGAAACTCTATGCTTGTGAATAAGTATGCTTTCAAGAAGTATGTTCCAAATAAAAATTGTGAGTGAATAAGCGCTAAACCTTGCAGACATATGTTTTCAGACAGTCGAAGAGATACCTCTGGCGGGCATATAGCGCGAGTCTGCCACTTCGCGCTCCGGAGCCCTGCCATTTCACGCATTTTTGTGCTCCGGGGCTCTCCCAAAAGTGGCGCACCTCCGGAGCAGAGATTTGCGCGTGGCGGAAAGGGGTCCCATTCCTGTTTGTGACGTCACCGTGACGCACGGTAAATGGATGGGACCCCTCTCCGCGACGAGCAAATCTCTGCTCCGGAGGTGCGCCACTTTTGGGAGAGCCCCGGAGCACAAAAATGCGTGAAATGGCAGGGCTCCGGAGCGCGAAGTGGCAATCCTCCGCTGGGGAAAGCCCGCGACCTTGCCACTTCTGCTCCGGAGGTATCCCATCGACTGTCTGAGAGGCTATACTCTGCAACGATTCCCCGCGCTATCTACCGAATTATTGATTACTTACATCATGGAAAATGAAGGCTCAGCAGTAGCCATAAAATCATTTCTTTGAGCTACCTAAATCGTAGCGGTACGCCCGATTCTGAGTTTCTGCTAGTGCACAGTGAAAAAAATGTGTTTGAAGTTGGTTTTACATATGTGCAAAAATTCAGCTTTTGTTTTGTTTGTGTGCAAGCTTTCCGGTGGATTATAATGTAAAAAATTCCTAGTGAAGTGCGTTTCGCAATGAGTGTAAAAGGCTTTAGGCCTACACCGATTTCATAACTGTTTCAAAGTGACAAAAAAACCAATTTGACACTCATATAGAAGACGTGGGAGGTTCGAAACACGATTGTTTTGTATTGGGTAGACGCGAAAGGATGAGGGATGGTCAAAAATCTTAGCAGACCCTAAAAATGAGAAAAGTAGGCTACACTCACTTTTGAATACCCAGTCCCGTAGCAGAGGAAGATATCTCAAAAACTGAGCAGATATTGCTGGACCTCCATGAATTGAGCGATAAAACAGTGTAGAATGGATAGTAAAGAAGCAACCGGATAGCGATGAGGCACGACAGAAGCTGATTTTCAACATTGTGAATGGTGGTGCTAATCTGTCACATCCATTCTGCAATGCTTATGCGTACATTCATGGTAGCCAAGCAGTCCTGATGAGAGATAAACGCAAAAAATTGCAGAAAAACTTGCACAGTGAGCAGAATGCCGCCTAAAGGGCCGGACATACATCACGCGGTTTCATCATCGCGCGATTCTCCCCCAAGACTGTTACGAGTTCATAGCATGCCGATCATCTTGCATTTCGGTTGTTATAGTTAGTCCCAATTAGTCGTGTCAGAAAAACACACAACCGAAATGCAAGATGATCGGCATACACGGACTCATAACAATTGTTTTGTTGGGAGAATCGCTAGGCAATAAAATCACTTGATGTATGTTCGGCCTTTGAAAGGAGAGGACACATTGGAAGGGTTGACCTTAATCAAAAGTAATCGGAGTTACAAGAGAAGGGGAAGATTGAAGAGCGCGAGACACGGGCGCCATCTATTCCTACCGGGCTGGCTGCGCGGGCGGTTCGCGCGCGGCAGCCGTGAGTAGCGTTAGGGCGCGCATTGGATGGATATGACTTTGCCATGTACCGCCTTTCATCGGCTCAAATGTGCAAACAAAAACTTTTGCGCCTGTCCCAGGATAACGAAGGCTGCCATGCGCAAGGCCATGTTAATGAAAACATTGGTTTCTACTTCAGTAGCCGCTACCTGATTTTGTATAGCCTCTTTGACTAGCGCAGTCGAGGATACCCTGCAACTCCTAAGTGCGCCTATTCGTTATTTGGAACTTATTGCTTTTCTACATATGAAAAGGGAAAATCAAGTGCGTTCGTGGCTTCTTCCTAATATGCGAATCTATTTGTTTTCCGTGATCCGCACATGTAAGCGTCAACAGTTGCGTGCCGGTGATCCTATATGTAAGAGTATGCATCAAGACTTAACAAGCTAACATAATCCCATTATGCTGGATTAGATGAATAAGGAGGTCAGAAGGTATCATCGGCTCCACGATTCGTGTAGAGGCGGGGTTCTGCCAACTCAAAGCGTGGCGGTTTTTGATAGCGAGAGAGTACAAAAAACAATGCTATGACGTGGAGGTTTAACAAGTTTACCTGTGTTATCAGGTAAAGTCTGCAATACACCTCTACACGAATTGTGGAGACGATCATTTACAAGAACGCTTGCGTCGCCTACATTTCGACATCAATGTTTTGGAATTCCACTAAATTCTCCAGCATTACTCAGCAAACTCAGCTTCGGTATTTCTTAGCTGAATCCTTTGTTCCTTTGGACTTATATAGCTGTGTTCGCAGTTAGAACACTAATGCTGACCAATGAGTGGATCATGACTGCTAGAAAATGTACAAAGCCGACACTTTGGATAAGACAAGAAATGGCCTCCACGGATTCTACGCTCGTGTGTTCTTCGCACATAAGTATTCTCTAATGTATGTACATATGCATCCGTGACCGATTCATGAACGTCATGTCAGAAGCGTTTGTGAAAGCAAAGTATTACTTCAAAAATCCTACCTCTAGTTGGTTGAAATCACTTATGAAACCGTTATACCAAGTAGTGTAGATTCGAAAACTACTGCAATTGACTACATTCCGTGATTTGCAAAACCTTACGCACCCTTCAAATTTCATTGAACAAGTGAGCATCAGATGTTAGATTCATTAGAAATTCTGACTGTGGAACATAAGCGAACAATCTCATTACTTATGATTCAACTCGGTACACAATCGTAATGGTCTGACCCGATTAGCGAAAGTGAGCTTACTTTCACTACTTTGGGAAGGTTTGTTTTGTGATCAAGAGAGGTCAACGAATGAAATAAGTAACTAGTTAATAACCTCTTAGCAACGGCAAGGAAATCCTTGAAAAATGATGTAAAGGGATAGTTCATGGCGAACATTATGGCAGACAAGCTAAATGCCTTTATCAACATTGTCCTTTTTAGCTGGCACCTCTGCAGTAAAGTGAAAATCCTCCTCAGCACGTTTGGGTTAAGAGCCTAGTCTAACCTAACGTCGCAATCATGAGAGGGATTGCGCGCCCCACGTATACGGGTACCGCGCGCGAACCGCCCGCGCAGCCAGCCCGGTAGGAATAGATGGCGCCCGAGACACGCCTTAAAGCAAGTTTGTTTTCCCTTTGATTTTTTCTATCATCAAAATGTCAGCTGTGAGTTTTTTGCGTCACATTATAGCCGGGCAATGTCGGGTACACTGCTAATATAGCTCGCACTGCCTTTTAAACAAAATCAGCAGGCAAAGTTTTGCAGGAAATTACAAGGAGCTGAAATGAGCCTAGAAGACGTATCAAGACTGAGTCAAACAAGAAACAATGAAGCTAGCAACTGCTCCCAAAGTGCGGATGCATGGTGTCTGCCGGGCGAAAAGTGATAGTGATCTAGAGCAGCAGCAAACAGCTTTGTTCACAAATGGCGCGCAAACCCGAGGAAGTCGAACCCGCCTTGACAGATCAATATTGGAAAAATCATTCGACTGTTGCACGCTCGAAGAGTCAACATAACCATGCTTCGCAATCAAGTGACGCCAAGGGCTGGTTCTTTTTTTCGCACGCATGTGACCACAGCACGGGCGTAAACACGTCGCATAAAGCTAATTGACCGCTCCTTTCAAGCTAGCTTTCATTGCCTTTGGGAGAGATCAATGCTACTTCGGAGACAAGACTATAGCTTTTGTTGAAAAAAGTAAAAGAGTGACGTTAGCAGGATCAAGCAAGAGATGTGTGGAGACAAGAAGATCTAACCGTCAAATCTCGGCATTTGTACACTTTTCAAGCAAAGATCTCCTTTGACCTACAAGAAATGTGAAAACCCTTTCCACTTAAAATGTATGGTATTTGTTCTATTTTCTGCTCAGTGGCCTTGGGCGTGTTCAGCGATAAATTAGCTCTAGTGGACAAGACAAACCCAAAAAATCTAATAGCTTATGAGCAGAAAGTGTTCGTGTCAGTGGAAGCTGAAAGTTGAAAACAACAAAGGATGCCGAAAAAAAGCAAGTTGCAAACAACAAATGAAGCGCGAAATCGCACACTGAGTTGGAGCACGATATTTACCAAAGGAAGTTCATGTAGAACTGGAGCCCTACAAAGAAAAAGGCAACGCTCTGGAGCCGCTCGCTGGAGTTGAGAGCGCTGGATCTTTTCAGGCAAGCAAGAAAACCCAAAAATCGTGAATTCTTGGGGATGTATGCTCGGATAACTCGGTCATTTACATCGGGCTGAAAATTGTCAACGAGATAACTGAAAATGGCTCGGCTACTATGCGTCAGTTTCCAAGAGTATTTGCGATACTAACGATAGGATATGACATACGACATTAACGTTGTTAACAATACTGCAACTGTGGTCCAGAATTTCATATCATTACTTATTCAATCACTGTAATTTGAACTTGCGTTTGTAGGGAGAGACTGACTAACACATTCACGACAATCACGACAATACGAACCACCGGTGGTTCGTATGTGCACTGCCACCTCGGACAAAACCCACCGAGTTCGTATTTCTGATTTTTTTACGCATTCCAAGTTTATAATGGAACAACATGGGATATCGGCACACGTTGGGAGGCCTGTAGTAGAGCTCTAACTACAAGGCTACCCTTCGGACCATACGACCCATCGCTGACTGAAACAAAAACACGAGAAAATTGGCACCGATGGGCATGTCGGAAACAGCAGAAACGAAGGGTTAAGTCGTGAAGTTAAGCATGTGTATATACGATGCGCAGTATTGAGCTTTCCTGAAGCATTTTGGATGTGCAAAGCTTGTGAAAATTCCTGTCGCCAGGGAGTGGCGCCACTGGTTTTGAGAAGATGGCAAAAGAATACCATTAGATGTATCGTTTGTGGAGTAAAATCTCTTATGGCCCTTTCGATAAAGCAGATGATTATGTTATTCTGTGACTAGAAGAACCAAGGACGCTTGAGCGATTGTCTAAACAAGTTTGTTCGTGTGCTTAACAAGTTTATTATAGTGATCCATCTCATGTAGGATTGTTTGTTACTTGGGACCAGGAAAAAACAAGTTTAAGCTTGCTTAGGCAATGTGTACAAAACGCACTTGAGTCTCCTAGCCTCAAAGTAGTAGATGATATAGACGACTCCCAGGAGTATAGCGGGCGAAGCATTTGCAAACATGTGAAGATCGTTTGAAACTTGTTGAACTTCCATTTTGAAACATAAATTTTTGAGGTGTGGTGCAGGCGACAATCCCCAATTTTGTGCTTCTCGAAAACTCCTCTATGCTAAAGTGACACGGCGGGGGACTACAGGGGTGGGGGTGGGGCAGATACAATCGAGTAGATTCTCCGCTTAATATAGTGTGCTTGCACAGAAGGTGAAATGCGGTAAAATTTGCGCGTGAGCAAGTAGCCACGCCAGTAATGCCGACATTTTGCGCGCGCAAATAGCCGGCGTCATAGGCGTAGCTATCTCTTTACGCACAAGTTTTACCGCATTTCGCCTTCAGTGCAAGCACACTATATTGAGCGGAAAATCTACTCGACTGTACACTGCTCAATGTGCAAATAAAATTCGGTAAAAGTCAGTGGGAAGGATGTTTCACCTCTTGCATTTTGCGCCGATTGTCGCCTTCCGCGTGCCCCCCAACTTTTTGTACTTTCTGCTCTCAGAAGGCACGCGTGTACATTATCAGGCGCCTAGAATGCCCCACCCAATATACTGTACCTGTTCCACATTTGAGTTACAGATGCGGAGATAGCCAATAATTAACAAAGGTTCTTCTGCGCGAAATTCTATCACATTTCTCTGCAACAAGGATAGATATATTGAAAATTTTGTCGCTGCTATTTCAGGCAAAAATAAATCGTTAATAAGTGAGAAGCACTTCACGAATTCTTTGGTAAATAAATCAATTCTTTTTACACCCCGTTTCCGAAGTACGTTTCCAAAGTAGATATTACGTCCAAATATTTCCTGCTGTGAAACAAGTGTCAGTTCCTGATATATTAGGTTGAACCGAAAGTTCTTTCCCCCATTTTCAAAAATTCATAACTTGTTGAATTCTCAACGAATCTGCAAGATCTAAATTTTGTATAAGAGAGG